GTAGTTCAGGTTGGCCTCAAATTTGAGGGATCCTTCTGCCTCATCCTCCTGATACTGAGATTACCGCCATATGCTGCCATGCCCAGTTATGAAAAAGCAGCTTTAGAATAATGGTTATATAAGACTCTAAATAAAATTTTATTTGTGAGTTTTAAAAATTTTAAATTTTTCTGAATTAAGATATTTAGTTATCTCTTGCTGTGTCAGGTGTTCTGTCCTATACCCGCTGAAAGTCTCAAGCATGACCAGGTGTAGAGACATGGCAGTGTGGCAAGGGGGCAGAAGAGGTGATCGTCTGTTTTGTTTTGTTGTTTTGGTTTTTTTTGAGATGGTCTCACTGGGTAGTTGAGACTGACCTGGAACTCACTATGTAGCCCAGGCTGGTCTTGAACTCACCGGGATCCTCCTGCCTCAGCCTCCCGAGTGCTGGGATTACAGGCCTGTGCCACCACACCCGGCTGTGATGTCTTAACAGCAACACTGATTGTACAGGGCAGTGTCCCATTTATTTGGGGTTGTTTTATTAATCAAGAATTGTGTTTTGTATTTTATATAGCAATAGATGTATATAAATAACAATTGCAGAGTTTAGTATGTAACAGAGTGAATGCCTGTGACGGCCCAGAAGAATAATGAGTTCTGTCACAAGGAATTAGGTAGAGCTACTTAGCCAGTGGAAGCATTCCCAGCCGGAGAAACATACATATCAAAGACATAAATATGTGTTGTGCTTCAGGAACAATGAGTAGTAGTACTGAGTAACAGAATCATACAGAACCTGGCAGGGAATTTATTGCAGGTAAATCTAGAAGATAATTTTAAGGTTAGATCAGTCATGTGAGTTATGGCAAGTTGAAAAGTCTGGGCTTTTTAAAAAAACATAGAGATCTGGAAAACCAATGAGGAAATCTGGTTAAACAGGAGAGACATGATCTGGTTGTTTTGCTTTGTTTTGTTTTGAGACAGGGTCTCACTATGTAGTTTGGGCTGGCTTTGAACTCACTATGTAACCCAGCCTGGCCTCAAACTGATATCAATCCTCCTTCAGCTTCCCAAATGCTGAGATTACAGGTGTGCATCAATATGACATCACTTAAGTACCTTTGCCCAATAAAAATGCAATGTGAATTTTAAAATGCAAGCTACCTAGTAATTTTAAGTGTTCAATTAGCCTCGCTAAAAAAATGGGTGAAATTAATTTTAACATATTTTATGTAATAAATATAAAGTGTAATGTGTAACATATACGTGTAATGAATATAATTTAATCAAATATACATAAATTTCAATAAGTAACCAATGTAAAAATTATTAAGAAGGACCGGGGACTTAGCTCAATGGCGCCTCACCTGCCTGGCAAACAGAAGTCCTGAGTTTGATCACCAGTACCAAAAAACAAACAAAAATTAGTAAGAAGGTATTTCACCTTTTTCATACTAAATCTTCAAAATCCAGGATGTGTTTTACACTTAGAGTACATCACAGTTTAGACTAATCACATTTAAAGTATTCAGTAGCCACAGATAGCTGGTGACTATCTTACTAGATACTGCAGCTTTAGAGCCCGCATTGTAGATGGTGTGTTTAGAATCAGGTTAGAAATGAGGAAGAGCCTAGTGGTTTAATCCCAGTGAAAAATAGTGAGGACTTGAAAAAAATGATGCAAAAAGAGCTTTTAAAAATGGTTTCTGGGACCAGGGATTTAGCTCAGTGGCTGTGCCTCCTGCCTTGCAAGCACAAGGACCAGAGTTCGATCCCCCATTCGGGGGGGTCGGTCGGGGGGATGGGGATGGTTTCTGGGTAGTCTTACATAATATTTTTTTTAACCAGTGTTTGATTTCTAGGACTCATCTATATTGACATATGTAGCTTTTGTTGCTAGTTACTTTTTGCTTTATAACTTCATATTGCAAGAATATACTACTGTATCTTACCAATTTTCCTGTAGCTTTTCCCCTTCCCACTTTTGATATTATAAACATTGTCAGTGTAAACATTCATATATGTGTCTCTCAGTACACATAAGCAATGGATTCTCAGAAATCTATAGGCTAGTAGATTTCTTGTAATATTATCATAAATTTCACCTAGTTTGTAGCTTGCTTTCTATTCAAAAGCTAATTTTTTAATTTTAAAAGTCTTTTCTGTAATTGAAATTAATCTCTTGTAATTAATTTTTTTTAATGTTAAATTCTTTCTATTTGATCGCAGATTCTCCTGTTTTGTTTTAGAGACAGTGTCTCGCTTTGTAGCCCAGATTGGTCTTGAATTTGCAGTGATCCTCCTGCTTCAGCCTCCCAAGTGCTGGAATTATAGGCGTGTTCCACCATACCTAGCAGATTTTACTTCTTAAAGACTTTGCATTTAAGTGTTACATTTATTGAATAGCCTTTCCTTGTATTTGTCTGTTAATGCCCAATAAATTGTCCTTGCTGAGCATCAAGACATTTGTCATCTTAGTTTCTATCGGTGGAATCTGAGTGTGGCATAGCAGTGTGGTTTGCCTTGAAGTTGCAGTCAAACTGCTGACCAGGCTTGCGGTCATCACCAGGTCTGCATCTCACTCACGTGACTGGCGGGCCACAGAGTTGCACTTCTAAGCTCAGGCATGTGGTTGCCGGTGGTCCTTGATTCCATGCCTCATGGATCTCTCTATAAGTTGCTTGAGTATCCTTCCAACATAGCAGCGGGCTTCCTTCAGATAATGAGTATGTGGAGGATGAACAGCATGACAGAAGTTGCATATAATATATTATAGCTCATATTAGAAGACAACCATTTCTTTTGTCATACTCTTCTAAACGCAAGGCACTAGGTCCATTCCACATAATAAGGAAAAGGAAATTATGTTCCACCTCTTGAAGAGTTGTCTCAGAGTTTATGAACGTCTTTCAAATCATCACATGCCTTTCCTCAGTGATCTACAATGCCTACCTTGTTAGATGTAATTTCTTTGTATACACCAATCCACTTCTGGCCTATTTTGTTCTACTGGTTCAATTTGTGTGTCTCATTTTTCTGTTTGTTTTTCTTTTGTTTTTCCTAACCCCAAATGTGAGTTTCTGACCAAAACTCATTTCTTGGTGTTTTGTTTTCATGTATCTTTATTCTGAGAGCCTACCCATTCTTCTGTCTTTATCTACAGATTCTTAACAGAAGACCCCAGGCTATGTGCTGGTCATCACTTCAGACTTTCTGTAACCAGATTTTTTCACATATTTCTTCTTTATGGGGAAAAATTACTTCAGTAGTTACTGTGATACTGATTATGGCATACAAAACTCAAGACCCTAGAATAACTTATTAGAAACACTAATATCAATTGTGTTAACTTTTCAATACTACAATATACATGAGATAATTAGTTTTTAACAATAAGAATTTTGGCTTGTGACATCAGAAGTTAAGTCCGTACTAAGTTGGTCTGTTTGCTTTTGGGCCTGTGATAAAGCAGCTCATCTGCATTGGATTTTATCTACCACCTCCTGGGGCTTGTGGCCTTGAGCAGATGGTTCCTGACCTCTTCAAGATTCCATTCTAGGGAAAGAAAAACATTAAGCATGGTTTAAGTCAGTGATAAAATTATGATGGAAACAAAATAGAGCAGCAAGCAGTGGGTTCTGTTCCTTGTAATGCAGGGAGGGAAAGCCCTCTGGTAAGATCATTTTGAAACAGGGAGCAGTGAGTTATTAAACATGTATTCCAGGGAGAGCCATTAGAAAAGCCCTGATGGAGAAGTTTAAGAAGTAGCAGGGAAACAGTTTTGTGTAGACATGTGAGGCAAAGGAAAAGCAACTTGGGGTAAAAAAAATATTAAAGGAGGAAAGGATTCTATGTGAAATGTATTTATTGTGAGAGATTTCATAAACCACTGAAGGGGTTTGAGGAGAGGATAAAGTTTTTAGAATTAGTTTTTAAAAGATAACCTTGCCTATTGTGCTGATAATAGACTGAAATTGTAGCAAGGACAGTAGCAGGCAGATCATTTAGAAACCTATTGCAAAATTCAGGCAAGAAGTGGTGGTTTAGATCAGGATGCAGTGGTCAGATTCCAAATATGTTTTGAAAATAGAGCCGTTAGCATTTGCTAAAGGATCAGGTCCTCAGTTACATTATAGATATTACAATATATTAGAGTCCTTAAGTTATAGATGTTACATAGTATTTGAGTCCTCAGTTACAGATACTATAAAGTAATCTTGGTTTTTAGTTTTGTTTAGGAGAAAACTTAGAACACAAATAGAAAAGAAATTCAGTCTTACTTTCTGTTGCCTTGAGAGGTGACCACTGTTAAAATTTTGGTGCAAGACCTTTCTAAATTTTACATATGCAAAGATATAGAACATGTACAATACATTGTTTAAGCAAATTGTATGTGTGGTAAACATTTTTTTATATTATTAAATAATCCCCAACATTTTACATCTTTATGGTCCTTTATACAAATGGACTATTGTTTGTTTCCCTGTCAATATTTAGGATGCTCCCAATTTTTCCCCCCTGTTATAAATACCATTTCAGAGAAGATCATAATTCTTTTAAGCATCTGCATGATCAGAAAAACAATTTTCCTGTTACTTCACAGCTCATGAAGTAACATCTCTTCCCTGCACACAACTTCTCGTCTTTACAGTTCATCAGTATTATGGCTGCAAATAAAAATAATCTCTATAATTTACCCCTTTTTATTTTGATAGTAATAAACGATTCTTCTCTGAATTTCATACACCTTAGTAGATACATTCAGGTATGAGAGAATGATATACAGATTAGAATATAAATTTCTCTGTTACACTCAAGAGAAAATAAAATGACATTTATTGAGTTTTGGAAATAAATTTTAAAATATTTTTTACTCTACATTTAGTTTATGATTAGCAGTTTCTAGAATGTTATTGAGCCAGTTTTTGAGAGTCAACGTACTTGATGTTTTAATGACCCTTGTTTTGAATATAGTAATACTTCTTTTTCTTTCTTTCTTTTTCCCATACCCTATGTAGATTGCTGCCATTTTCTCTTTTGCCACCTGTGGGGGTTTTAAGGGCAAAACAGAAATTCTAGTGAGTTGTCGTCCTAATGTGACTGAGAATAAAACTGTCACTGCTACTTTTGGTTATCCATTCAGGTGAGTGAGTTGTTTTTTTAAGTTAACAATTCTTTTTACTTTCATACTGAATCATTAAGATTTTCAACAATTTATTATGTAGAGGATGTTATAAAGTTTCTGATTTTTGCTACTCAGACTATAGAACAGAGACCAGTATCCATGTATAGACTTTTCCTAGTCTATGTTGAAATAAATGCAGCAGTTGAGAATAAGCATTTACAAAATTTGGTATTAATATGACATTGCCTCAGCATTTTTATCTTATTGTCCCAGGGTGGATTGTAAAGAAAAAAATAAAGACTAGTCTATTGCTGTAGTGGGGAAACCCTAACATAGAGAAGCAAAAATCTAGATTTCTCATGTTTTTGCCATTATTGAATAGCGTTCTTTATGTAGTTTTTAAGATGTATATTTATATAAAGAATTCCTGTTTTCCCTAACACAAAACCATACTTTCATAATCTTGTTTTTTGTTTTTTGTTTTTTTCATTTTTTTGAGACAAGGCCTCACTGTGTAGTTGGGCTAATTAGCCTTGACCTCACCATGTAGTCCTCAAACTCCAGGTGATCCTCCTCCCTTCGCCTCCCAAGTGCTGGGATTGCAGGCATACACCACCACGCCTGGCTCCTACTCTTAAAGAAGAATGAAAATTTAGATTTTAAAGTCTTCTGTGTGACTTCAATATTCATTGATGTGTTCTATGTTTAAGCTGGTATATAAATCTTCCACTTAACTTACTTGACATAAAACTCAATTTTTCTGTCCAGTAAATTAAAAATATTACCTTTTAAAGATGTTTTGGTATTTAAATAAAGTCATATATGTCAGAATGTTTAAAATCTTACGAGTACTAACTAATTATCAAATCCCTTCTATGTGCTTTCCCTTCTGTTTAATTCTGGAATCTGTTCAGTATCTTTAGCGATATGTGCTTTTGTAATTTATAAATAGGGAAAATAAGAGGCAGTGTGATTTTTCAGGTAACAACTAATCTAAGGTTTAAAATATGTGAATCATTGTTATAATTGGCTCTCTTGGGGCTAGTCACACACACTGCCTTCTGGAATAGAAGTGTCTCAAGCTAAAATATTTGGTAAAATCCCACCTAATCTGCTTGTTTGTTTAATTACAGGAAGGTAGTGTCTCAGTGTAAAAGTATGTAATTCAGTCTGTATTCATTCTGTCATAATCCACTTACCAGATTAAATGGTAGGTGTATTGTGAAAGTTTTAGTTTAAGTATTTCAGTTACCATTTTTAAAAAAATGTTTTTGATATCTTTAGGGAGTATGTTTTGAAATGTCGTTTTAGTATTCTGCTTAATATTCTGTATTTATTGAAGAGTCCAGTAATTCATACATTTATTTGAGCCGTTTTTTTTAATAGGTTGAATCAGGCATCATTTCAGTCATCTTCAAATGTTTGTGGTGTAGATTGGAAAAGTCACGTCCTCGTAGGAGATTACTCCTCTTCTGCACAATTCTATGTTACATTTGCAGTCTTTGTATTCTTATACTGCATTGCTGCCCTTCTGCTTTATGTTGGTTACACAAACCTGTACCGGGATAGTCATAAACTTCCCATGATTGTGAGTAAGCACTTCATTTCTTTTTATATGAAGTAATTTACATAAGTGTACAAGTTATGTTGGAAGCTAAGTGTAGGTATTTTTACTAGATATCAGAACATTTGACATAAGTTAAACATGTTTTGGTGTGTGTTGTGAAGTTGAGCTGTCATTGTTAAAACAGGCGATAGAGCTTATTAAGTTGCAAATAGAAAAATTAAGTAGAAATTAATGCCTTTGAGAATTGCAGGTCATACCATTAGTGTTCCTACTCCTGGCCTTTTTTATCTTTCTTCAAAGGCCCTCTTTATGCCTTTACTATATCTTATTGAGCTTAATTGTCTGTATCAAGGAACAGCAGATTATGGTCCACAGATCAAATCTGACTCACTTCTTTTTTTAATACAGTGTTTGGGAACACGATCATATTCATCCTTTATATGCTGCCCATGCAGCTTTCTTGCTAAAACCACTTAATTTAAATGTGACCAGATGACTCTTACATTTAGCAATGGTGGCATCCAGGAGCAAGTTTGGATCTTTGAGATGCCAGCAGAGGATTTGGATTTGAAATCCTGATGCCCTTCATGGCTTCCAAACTCACTGAACTAGAAATAAAATGTCTGACATTCAAGGAATAGACGTTGCCCTAGATTATCAGTGGCAAATCCAGAGATAAGCCATGGTTGTAAACTATCTTCACTATAAAAGAATAACTTCAAAGTCATTATTAACTTAAAGCGAAACAGAGGTATTTTTGTGATACTAGTTAACACTTGTCTGCTAATTATTTGTATGTACCTTAAAGGGAAAATTATCTAAATATGAAGAAATTATTAAAGTTTTGTTTATTTATTTTTAATTTTTGCTGCCTGGATCATAAAGAATGCAAAGGGTAAGTAAGGAATGAAATAGTCTTTTACAGTGCAGATTTATTGTTTCTTATGTATTGAAAAACATAGGAAAGAAAACTATACATTTTCCTAAAATATAATAAAAAAGTTAAAAATAAAAAGGGACTCTGGTGATCACATAATTATATCTTGTTAAAATTCGTTAGATGTTTCCTGCCTTGTCAGTATTTCAAAAAAATTTTAATAAATTTTTAAAATAAAATTTTGTCTAATAAACTTTAAAAAATACTATACCATACTTCATAAAGCAACATTTACATCCGTTCTGGAGAGGGTTTTTCTCTCTGTTAAAACTATAAAACTGGGCCAGGGATTTAGCTTAGTAGTTCCACCGCCTGCCTTGCAAGCGCAAGGTCCTGAGTTCGATCCCTGGTCCAAAAAAAAAAAGAAAAACTATAAAACTGATGTAGTTGCATCATCCTGGAAGTGCAAAGCAATTTTTTATTTAAGAATGGTCAGTGGTCATATAAAGTGATTCTAGAACTGGTTCCATAAATGTTTTTGTTATAACATGTAATTAATGCTTCTTGTTTAAGTTTTGAATTCTGCTTTTAATTAACCATATAAATATAAAGGGTTTTTTTCAGATACCCAGATTTTTAAATATAACATTGATTTTTTTAGGTATTGTTTATTAACAAAGATTGCTTTTTCAGCAATATTCTCAATTCTGTGCTAAGGTATTCCCAGAAGTATTTCAACTGAAATTTTCAATCCACTTTAGTTCTCTTTTAAGTAAATATAGTACTTTGTGTGCATGTGTTTGTGTTAAGTAGCAGATGCTTAAGGCTTCTAAGCAGTATGGAACCAAGAATACAGGGAAATTAAGCCAAACAAAATAGGGTGGTATCCCCAGTTCTAAAAATTTGCAATGAATCATATCCTAACTTGCAGAGTTGCCCTTGGCAGCTGCAGTTTTGTACTACAGAATTCCAGGTGACACTGTTCCCTTAGATTACACTGTGACTACAGTCCTGAGTGGAACAGACACAGTCCACAGGGACCAAAATAATGCCTCGCTTTCCTTCACCCTCTTTTTATTTTATGCATCATTTTCAGAAAAGTTCCTGCTTTTGAAATATAAGGTCATGCCTTAAACTATTAACAAAGTAGACTTGAAGAGCATAGTAGGAAGGTGAAGGAGGTAAGGAGGAAGAACAGTGTGATTTTTAGTAAAGAATTTGGAAGGAATACATGAAAATTAAAGGGATTTGACATAACATTGGTTGGAGGTGTGATTGAGCCTAGAGAGAACTTGTTTAATGTATGTTCACCTTATATTATTTATCAGTTCTCCAAAAGGCATTATATTTCTGGTGCAAACATAGAAGATGTCTGTCTGCAGCAGAAGGTACAGCAGAGTACAGCACAGTGCTCCCACAGTGCAGAGAATGTCAGCTAAAGATATTTCTGTCATTTTTTCTTTTTTTTTTTTGGAACTGAGGACTGAACTCGGGATGTTGCATTTGCAAGGCAGGCAGAGGAACCACTGAGCTAAATCCCCAGCACTGTCATTTTTTCTTTGATCTTCATTTTTTTAAGAAGGGCTTAAATGTAAAATGTGGATACCTGCATGTTTGTACAAGTGGCATTAGGTTTTGATCTAATCACAAGCTATTTAGTGCTGTCTTGGCCAAGTGGGCAAGCTATATGGCATGTCTTATATCTCATAAGAAAGTACTGATATTTATCCTAAATAAATGACTTTTTAAAGATGACTGGCAAAATAATTAAAATCTAAACCAGTATTTAAAAAACAAAATACTTCCATAATATACCCTAAAAATGTCTGGACTTAGAAAGATTTTTGCTGCAGATATGAGCCTCACATGTACCCATCTGCTTAGAGTAACATTAAACCTATAAATTTTGTGTTATTCCCACTTTGGTCATTGAATTTCCAGAAGACCAAACAAAGCATTATATTATATATTGTACAGATGGATATTTAAACTGTTAATTAGATCATTGGCACCAGTATTACTGGACAGAATTTTATTTCCCCAGCAGATATTAAGGAGAATAATTTTCCCCCTTTCATCTCTTTGGTTTAATAAAAAACTATTCTAGATATCAAAACTTCTCATTTTACTCTTGGAAATGTTATATATAGCAAAGGATTTAGTAGGCCATTACCGTAATAAGGTGTCTTGGGACATTTTTTGGGTTTGTTTGTTTTTGTCTTTTATTTATATGGTGAGCATTCTTAAAATTAATAGTCATGAATTTTTTTTAAACCTGGTTTTGTTCTTTGCATCCATTGTCTTATTGCCCATCTCGTGGAGAATTAGATTTAATTAAAGTTAGGATTTTACCAGAACAGTATGAAGAAATAGGAGAAAGATAAGGGCATGGAGAGTTTATTCAAGGGATTAACAAACTTAAAATATAAATTAAGGGGCATGTTAACATGAGCGAAGTTGAGGCAGTAAAAATGTGGAAGGGTCAGTCAGTGGCTGGGGATTTAGCTTAGTGGCACTGTGCCTGCCTTGCAAGCACAAGGTTCTGAGTTCGATCCCAGGTACTGCCCCACCCCCAAAAGTGGTAGGGTCAGATTATAGGTCTTAGTGGGTCAGGACTCTTGGAGATTGGGACGCCAAAGAGTGAGGGGGAAGGAGGTGCTGATGGAGAATAGGCGATCCAAAGAGATTTATGGAAACACAGAGTTACTGGTGATGATGGGGTCTAAGGTCTGATTTGGGAAGTAGATGACTCAGGTAAGACTATGGCGAGAGCTGTGGAACACTTTGGTTTCTACTGTAAAAATCATAAGACCCCAGAGGAAATGAATCTTGTTAACTCTTGTATTTCAGGTACTATACTGAGTGTGATCTTTTAATAATTTTAATAGTATAAAGGCCATTCCTTAGTACCATAAAGTTGAATGTAACCTATTTTTTCATTGTGGATTTAAAATTTAATATTTTTAAATTGACCGTTAATTATTGCTATTTTTGTTTTAGGACTTTGTTATTACTGTTGTTGCCACTTTTTTGTGGTTGGTGAGTACTTCAGCCTGGGCTAAAGCGCTTACAGATATTAAAGTAGCTACAAGTCCCAGGATTGTTCAGGAACTTCTGCCTTGTAAACAGTCATCAACAGAGTGTCATTTTGGTTCTGTGACAAGTATGGGATCCCTAAATGTATCTGTGGTATGTATGCTTTATTTTTACTTTTTTTTTTTTTTTTTTTTGCTGTTATAACTGAAGAAAATTTGTTTTTTCTTTTTCTTTTTGGTACCGGGGATTGAACTCGGGTCCATTGCTCTTGCAAGGCAGGCGGCAGAACCACTGAGCTAAATCCCCAGCCCAAGAAAATTTGTTAAGAAATTATCTGTGAACAGGTTTGACCAAGATCTGCTTGAGTGTCACATTTCACTAAAACTGACAAAATAAGTCTTTTACTTGAGAGACACTAATTATAATCACTAACTTTTGTTGAAATTATGTGCCAGGCATTAGCTATCATATCTTAAGTTACATAACCATTTTAAAAGGAATGTGAAAGCTGATATTCCCTTCAACTATGGTAAATCACTCAAGGGACATAGCTAGTAAATGGCATGCCAAAGTTTGGACCAGGTCTGACTTTAGGGCCTGCCATATAAATGTGACTTAACCAGGGTAAATGAAAGCACTACTTCCATGTTTTTTTAAGTCTAAAATTTAGTCTGTATTGAGTATTACTTTGCTACTTTAACAAAATGTAGTTAAATTTATTGCTAAATATATTATTAATATACTGCATTGTATTATGTTTAGGGAGGTCCATGTCTTTTCAATAAAATGTCTTCTCAGTAGAAGTCAGTACTGCCTTATAAAGCGGTTGCCCAAATTTTTGTTTGGTAACTTTGTGTGATTTAGAAGTCAGTAGATTTATATTGACAGTGCTTTGAGCTGAATATATTTAGAAATGCTTTGTATACAGATACACAAAAAGATAAAGCATTTGACCTTCAGTAATATAGTCCTTTACAAATACTGTCATATTTATCTATAATTACTCTGTTCAAATGCAGTAGCTTTGGATTCATCTCGGACTTCATCTAGTCAGAAGTATATGAGGAGAGCAATTTCTTTGGCACTAATCAGTGGAGGGTAGGAAGTAAAGCTCTTCTAGGTAGCTGTTGGGTTGAATTAGGGGAGGTGGCATTGGGGGAGACAGGAGGGAAATAGGAAAAGGTGTACAAGGGTACCTTGTAACAAACAATTCCAATCAGGGGAAAGTGGGGAAGGCCCCAGGGAAGAAACCTGGAAGGCTAAACACAAAGTAATACAAGGAGACTTTCGGTGTTCTTACTTTAATCCCATATTTTTTTAGAACAATGAGCATGCAAAAACAAAAAGTTTTAGTCAGGTTTTTTATGCGTTACAGATTTAGAGATTTGGCTTTATTTACTTGAGAATAATCACATGTCCAAATTTTGTGTGTTCAAATATAATCTTTTTGGGTTGGGGATTTAGCTCAGTGGTTCTGCCGCCTGCCTCGCAAGCACACGGTCCTGAGTTTGATCCCCCTGGTACCCCACCAAAAAAAAAATACAGTCTTTTTCATTCTACTTTGTATATAGTATTAAACATTAAATGAGATAAAATGATGTACTGCCTAAAGTTGTCAAAAAGGAAAATAAACTGTTTAAGCATTAGATTTTCACATTTCCTTTTCTCTTTCATAGATCTTTGGCTTTCTGAATATGATACTGTGGGGAGGAAATGCTTGGTTTGTGTACAAGGAGACCAGCTTACATAGTCCCTCAAATACGTCTGCTTCCCATGGCCAAGGAGGGGCTGTTCCTCCTCCTGGAATGTAATTCAGGGACAAATACTCTGAACCAAACTTGTGTCTGTACCATGACTTGTTGCCAACATCTTGAGAAGCATTTTTTCTAATAAAAGTAATGGCTTTTTCAATAAATTGATGGATTTAAAATTTTGCTGCTTTTTTACATAAAACTTGTGCCTTTTCTAGACATTTAAGATGTAAATGTATTCTTATATGTAAATTTGAAACTTCAGGACCCTCTTATAAGATGATACACATTTTTAAATGAACAGTAATTTCTTCCCTAACCTTTTTTCCTTTCAATGTGTTTACAACCTTAAGCCTTAGCATATGTCTTTACTCAGAAAACAATTATTTTGTCATGTCATAATAGGAAGAAAATCTTTATTTGGAATATACACTACTGTAAGTTTCTATGACTCATACCTAAGATCCACCTTTGTTTAAGAAAGCCTTAATTGCATAAGTTATATTTAGAAAAGACAGTTCAAATTTTGTCTGAACATTTTTTTATGTTCATGTTACATAAATGTTTAATTGCAAAGACTGGGTATATGTTTTGTTTCTGTTTTTTTTATTATTATTAAGTGATTTGCTGTGCTTAATAATTATACTAAAACTGTGTTAGGAGCAGAGACTTGGAAATGTCAAATGGATGTGTGGTTAATTTAGTACTTCTGTTGCATGAGGTCAGAGCTTCTATGCCGGTAGCTTAATAGGCTTGCTATGAAAGTGGAAAGAACACAGTTCACCTAGCTGCTTTTATCTGGGTCGGCATCGCTCTTAGTGATGTACGTGTTGGTGCTCTTGTTGCTTGTGCCATGTAAGTACGGGTTGGGACTTGGTCTTCTAAAAGGAATAAAATAATATCCCTTTTTTTTTTGCAAACTTATTTAGAGGGTTAAAAATAATTAAGATTGCTTCTTACTTTTGAAGCACTTAGCATAAGAGTCAGTGAAATTGCTACTTTGTGGGGCCAGGGATTTAGCTCAGCGGTTTGGTGGCCTGCCCTGTAAGCACAAGGACCCAGTTTCAATCCCCAGTACCAAAAAAAAAAGAAATTGCTACTTTGAGGTTAGCCTTGATATTGTGAAAACAAATGTGATTTGGATTTCATGTTTATTAATATTCTTATTTTACCAATGGATGATTAAGAAATTATACATCATAAAAGAGCTGAAGTGAGTAATATTATGAGTATACTGTCTGTACATGTATTTAAGTATATTCTGCATAGAAAGCTTACTCATATTTTGCTTCCTAATCTTTTTGTTTTACAGGGATCTAGATTTTCTATTACTATGTGATTGTTCATGTGAAGCAAATCTTGCAATTGCCCTATTTTTGTTGCCTTTATTCATGACAAAAATGTCAATATGAGAATGTATGTTTTATGCAACAAAGTTAATAAAGAAACTGAAAGAGTGCACTGATTGTTATATTAAAGAAAAATCTTCATCTTAAACACACGAGCATTTCAAAGGAGAACTGATTTTAAAAGCAAGAAATAGAATTACAGTAGTGTTTAAATGTTTGGCAAGAAATGAAACAAAAATACTTTAGGCGCTCTGCTTCTATTTCAGTCTCATTTTAAAAGCCCTTACTTGTAATCATCAGGCTGAGATTTCCTAGTAACCCTTTTCTAATTGACTATTCAATTAGGCAGCTAAAATTCCTGATAAAGAATATATACTCTGGAGCCAAACTGCCTGAATTTGAATCTGTCTTCACCACTTACAACCTAGTTAATTTCATGCAAATTACACTTTATATGCTATTGTTTCCTTATCTGAAGAGTATATGAGAATACTGGCCTCAAAGGATGTTTATGAAAATAAAATGAATAAATGTAAAGTCCATAAAACAGTGCCCAGCACCTAGTAGACACTGTGTAGGTGTTAGCTGTGATTACTGATTCTGGTAGCATCTAATGGAGATTCTTAACCTGGAAACCATGGGCTGGAGGAGGGAAGGTGGTTTGGGGCGGAGATGAGCTTCAGGCCCACAAGCTTCTTGCTATACTCTGTTCCTCAAAGAACTCAGGTGCTTTGGTTATTTTGGTTTATTTTTGATGGTAAATGTAAGCAGTTTGTAGGATAATTTCTAGGACAGAAGCAATTAAAGCTTTACTAGGTGATAGGTTGTAGAGAACTATAGTATTTGTAAACTGAATAACATGGCTCGTGTTTTTGTAAATAGAATTTATGTGGATAAAGATACTTAATTTTTAAAACACTATAAATGTTAAGGCCAATATTGCTGCTTTGTTTCACACATAATTGTACAATTTTAAATTGCGGAATTTCAGATAAACAGGTAAGTGTACAAAATACTATATAGCAAATGCTTTAGAAATACCATTGCCCAACTGGGGTTTTGGTTGTGCTGGGGACTACACCCGGAGCCTCACACAATGCTAGGCAAGCACTCTGCCAATAACCTGCATCCCCAACCCTTTGAAATGTTTGAGAGTCTCTCTGACCTGCCTAAGATCCCACTAATTTGCCTGGGCTGGCATTGAGCTTGAGGCCCTGCTGGCTCAGCCTCGCAAGCTGAGATTACAAACCATGCTTGTATAAGATGTTTTAAAGAAAATAAAACACAAATGTAGCCTTTTCCTTACTGAGGTACAGTTAGATTTCTCCTACCTTTCACTATACAAATAGCTCTGAAATAAATGTTTTGTCAAAATCAGTGGGAGGGTTCTAGGACCTCCCACCAGAGATGCAACTGTTACAACATGAGATGTGCACATTTTCATTTGTAATCTAAGTATTAACAAATGGCTCAGCGTGGTGCTTGTATTAATTCAGTCTCCTGCCAGCAGAATGTAGAGTTGCTGTTACTCCATATTCTTTCTAATACTGGATGCTGTTGGACTATTTGCCAGTCTGATGAATTTGGAATAGTCTTTGATGTTTATAAATTTGTGTTTCTGATTTCTATTAAGGTTGACTGTCTTCTGGTGTTTATTGGCCAGCCCCTGTTCTGCATTGCCTGTTTGTGTCCTGATTGCCAATGTTTCTGTTGTGGTGCTTGTCTTTTCCCTGTTGATTTAAGGGCTTTCTGTGTATTCCTGTTTAATCCATGACATTTATATAGGTTACAAGTGTCTTCTCTCTGTCTATGGCTTATATTTTCACTTTTAGGATTTTTATAGTGCAAATTTTTTATTTTAATACTTAACTGTCTATGGTTTCTGCTTTATTTACTTTGATTCTTTTCTGAATATGTTTTTATTTTTCACTTAGGTCTTTAAAGCCACTAGGGAGTGTATTTTTGGTATATATAGTTTATGACACCTACCCCAGGTTTTATAATTTTCAGTACTTATACCTAGTTTTCACAGTGCCATTTATTTAAAAGTTTATCTTTTATATATCTCTGTCAAACATCAATTTCTCTTATTCATACCCCTTTCTGTATGTCTTATAACTACCATATCTAGCCCTATCACCCTTTAAGTATACATAGCTCTGCAGTATGAATTCCTGTCACACAGGGTTGGGGTGCAGCACTGTCACACACAGTTGGGGTTTTTATTGGCTTGGGGGCATCTTGAAACACTACAGTACTCAAAAGTTTTAGGATCAGCTTGTCAGGTTCCTACAAACCTTTATGGGGTTTCATTTATAAAGAATTGCATTGAATTAAGTTTGGGGAGAATTGTCTTATAATGCTGAGGCTTTGTAAATATAAACATGGTGTGTCATTCCATTTATATCTTTTATATCTCCCATAAAGTTTTATAATTTTCTACTAAAGTTAAAAATTTACATGTCTTTTAGCTTTTGTCGCTATTATACATAGTAACAGTTAAATTATCTTAAGTTGTAATTGTTAATTAGTGGCATACAAATACCTCTGGATTTTTATCTATTGATATTAATAGAAATATGAAACAGCTTGTATTAACTTTTCATTAATTTTTAAATAATATGTAGGTTCTCCTATTTTTTATATGCGTAGTATTATTGTCCACTATATTAGTAGGTTTTTTCCTCTGAGTTTGAAGTTAGATTACACTCTTCTGTTACCTTTCTCTGATTATATAATAACTGGCCTGGAAATCTATGAAAAAAACATAATGTAAAGTTACTTGGCAATACAGTACTATAAACTTTGTTTAAAAACACGTGAATCCACAAATTTAATCTATATATAATCACTATATAGTTGAGACTGCCCTGGAACTCACTGTACTGTATAGCCCAGGCTTGTTTCGAACTCACAGCCATCCTCCTGCCTCAGCCTCCTGAGTGCTGGGATTATAGGCATGCGCCACCACGCCTGGCCTGAGGCCACAAATTTATACCACGTTGTATGTTGGTCTGTGTGTAAAATTTGATCTTTTTTTTTTTTTTGAGACAGGGTCTTGCTATGTAGTCCAGGCTTACCTTAAATGTGTAGCCTAGGCTGGCCTTGAACTCATGACAATCTTCCTGCCTCAGCCTCCCAAGTGCTAGGATTAAATGTGTGCACCTCTACACCTCGCTTCAAATCAATTCTTACATTGTGGAGCAAATAAATGGAAAATGCCAGTTAATTAGCCTGATTGAAATAAGATAACAGTATCATGTATTATAACCGTCATACAGAGTTTTCCTATGTGAAATGAAGGTGTCATGAAGGTCACAGTCTAAAGTGGTTTTTAGGAGAGAACCAGTTTCTTGTCTTTTTCAGCTTCTGGTGGTTGCCGGCTGGCTCACTTAGCCCACACAGTTCCACCTCCACTGTCTTCAAATCACCTTACATGTCTATGAAATCTTGCTTTGCCTTTCTTACGAACAGTAATCATAGCATCCAGGGCCCAATGGATTATCCAAAATAATCTTAGGATCCTGCATTGCATCTACAAAGAACTTTTCTTCAAATAAGGTGATATTGTAAATTCCAAGAGTGAAGATTTGGTATTTTGAGGTGGCTGAATGTACCTACCATACTGTTCAAAATAATTTTATTACTACATATAAAATACATGAAAATGTATAGTTCTCAGGCCCAGTGCTCTTCAAAGTCTGTTGCCCTCCCTGATTCCCAATTCTAAGTATTGTAGTAATTTCTTCCTTTTCTTTTGTACCTTTTAGTA